CTAGCAAATGTTTAGGAATGGAGCTGACTCTCCCTTAAGCAGAGCCAATCTTCTGTGTAACATCTGGTTATTTCTCTGTCCTGTTCTGCTAGACTTTTAGGTGTCTTTAACGGGGTTATTGTTGCCTCCAGACATTTTTGAGATATCCAATAGACCCGTGAAGAATGTGTACAGATGCTGAGAGGATGGAAAGAACAGTTTGGAAACTGTTCATGGGCAGCTGAAGGGAGTCCTGTGTGTCTTTGAAAATGGAACATGGAGAACTCCCTCGGGTGTCCTGAGAAAGAGAGAGAAGTTGGAGATGTTTGGGTTAGATTTGGGATTTTTTTGATCTTTGCAGGGCTGGGATTCTTTTCAGGGAAACATGTAGTGTGATCATATGCAGGTCCATGATGTGTGGGAACACAATAGCTGCAATTAAGGCGAAGAGGGAGATGATCTGTCCTCATTCTGCACAAGGTGACTATGAATCCAGTTCACATAGGATTCCTGGTGGAAATGCTGAACCTTTCTGCCTTTGAGGAGCTCTCCGCAGGGGTAACTCAGAGAAAATAAATCCCCCAAATCCCCAAAGTGTGCTCTTGATACCCCTTCTTTAGAAGAGGTGGTGTAGATGCTGATAATCACTTCTAGATGCCCAGGGAATTTCACCTGGCAGCTTGCGAATCTCAGGGCTCACAACCCCTGTTGTCCCCTTCCCTCTACTGCACAACAGGACAGACTTCCCTGGAGCCCACAGGAAGATCTTCCTGATCCTCACATCACACTCAGTCACATAAAACTGGAGGTCAAGCAAAGAGCTGCACAAAGATCCTCTTGGTAAAGAGATGCAATGTGCTATTTGTATTAGAACTGGAATATTTATTGGCTTTTTTACTTGAAATAACTCTCATAACATGTCAATATCTTTTCTTCTTATAACAGTCCAGAAAGAATGATAAGAGAAAAATGTCCAACAGCAGCTCCTTCAACGAGTTTCTCCTCCTGAAATTTGCAGATACACGGGAGCTGCAGCTCTTGCACTTTTCCCTCTTCCTGGCCATCTACCTGGCTGCCCTCCTGGCCAACGGCCTCATCATCACAGCTGTAGTCTGCGACCACCACCTCCACACCCCCATGTACTTCTTCCTCTTCAACCTTGCCCTCCTTGATGTGGGCTCCATCTCCACCACTGTCCCCAAAGCCATGGCCAATTCCCTTTGGAACACTAGAATCATTTCCTACTTGGGATGTGCTGCCCAGATCTTTTTCTTTGTTTTCTTTATGTCAGCGGAGTTTTCTCTCCTCACAGTCATGGCCTATGACCGCTATGTGGCCATCTGCAGACCCCTGCATTATGGGACTCTCCTGTGCAGCAGAGTTTGTGTCAAAATTGCAGCAGCTGCCTGGGCCAGTGGGTTTCTCAATGCTCTCCTGCACACGGGGAGCACATTTTCCATTCCACTCTGCCAAGGCAATGAGGTGGAGCAGTTCTTCTGTGAGATTCCCCAGATCCTCAAGCTCTCCTGCTCACACTCCTTCCACATGGAATTTGGGGCTCTTGTGCTTAGTATTTGTCTAGTCTTAGGGTGTTTCATTTTCATTGTGCTGTCCTACGTGCAGATCTTCAGAGTTGTGCTGAGGATTCCCTCTAAGCAGGGCCAACACAAAGCATTTTCCATGTGCCTCCCACACATCTCCGTGGTCTCCCTGTTTGTCAGCATGGGATTTTTTGCAGACCTGAAGCCCCCTACCATCTCCTCCCCAGCTCTGGATCTGGTGGTCACTGTTCTGTACTCACTGGTACCTTCAACACTGAACCCCCTCATCTACAGCATGAGGAACAAGGAGATGAGGGATGCACTGAAGAAACTGATTCCGGTGGTACTAGTTGAGCAGCAATAAGCTGCCCATGGCWCTTCACCAAGGATATTGCTTGTAAGGCAATTTGTTTTGATTGTTCTTATCTTTAATACCCATCACTGTGCACAAATCCTTGAACGCATTCCTTCTCCAGAGGCATCTGCCCAACCCAGAGTCTTTCTGTCCTTCTGTCCCTCACCGGGTGAGAGCTGCCCTCCCAAGGAGCATCTCTGTAATGAAAGGGGATTTTCTCAGCCCTGGGCCTCAAGGCTGGGCTCCCCTTGCCAAGCTGGAGCCAAGAATGGCCTCAGGGAATTGCACCCACAAGGGCCCTCTGGTTGCGCTTGGTTTTGCATGGGCGCAAGCGCATCAACTCCTAGAGGGATGTGTTAGGGAAT